TATTATTATATACATAATTAATTTATTATATATATATATATATATATATATATATATATATTAATTATTCTTTTTTTTATCTGGGCATTCGAATATTCAAAATATCGAAACTTGAATTTGATTTCAAAATATTAAAACTCAAGATATTTAGATATTTGAATATTTGTACTATATTTGTGATTTAAATATCGAAGAAGAATTATATGACAAATTTCTCGAATTATATAGTAAGAATGTTTAAACAATAAATCCATTTTATAGTTAATTCTATTTATTATATATACTATTACATTATATTAGGATTATATAATTTGTCGTAACGAGATACTTTAAATTTTACTATTTCATAAATTCGCGGGAGATTGAAGTGACTAAATTATTATATAAAATATAAAATAAAAATATATAAAAAATATTAAAAATATATAAATTATTTAATATATTTTTAAATTGAAGTAAGAATTCAAACACTGTTGCCAAATTTACTGTTACTTTAGTTTGTATAAAGTAGGCTATGATTATGGAATCGTTCATTTTCGACTCGTGTTTTAAAAATATTTTACACATAGCGAATTCAGTAGTTTAAACAAATAACGAAATTTTGTATACACTTTCACTTCACAAAATTCGATATAGAAAAATATTCTAAAACAATTTTCCCTACATCAGTATCTCTAGCGCGAAATACGAACAAGGAAAGATATATTTATATTTAATAGAAATAAATACGGTTGATATATCAGCTAATGTCAGTTGTACATATGTGTTCTTTATAAAATGATAAAAATATATTAATTTACAGGTATGTATGTTTAGAATATTTTTTTATAATTCGCATATCAAATATTTACATTTGTAATTGATATATTTTTCTCAAATTCAATTGTTATATTTTTGACATTATTGCTCGATTTCGTTAAAAATGTGGTTAGTTTTCGATAATTACTATAACTTATTATACTATTTACAGATGAACAAATTAAAGAAATTATTAAAAATATAATGTTAATTATTATAATCTGAAAATATATTAACTAGTTGAACAAAGTCACTGCCTTTAACGCGATTCTTTGAATAAATTTATTTGTCATTTAAACTTATTTTATTTTAATATTTTCAATGCTGACAAACGATAAAGATTTTCAGACATGGAAATTGATGAAATTATAAGAAATATCTTTGGGCCGGATGTATTCTTAGAATCTAATGATACAAAATTTAGCAAAGAAAATGAAAAGCCTTCAAGGTATTTTTATCAATCTTATTTCTTTATAAATGAGTTAAAATAATGATTTTTGAAATATATGTATTAAAATTTTAGAGTGTCACATAGTTTAGATTTGATAAATAAATATATTGAAAGTACCCTTTTAAAAGATGCTCCGGTAAAAGATATACAAGACAGTAGAATTGGCAGAATTGGACCAGATATAGTTCGATTTGATGTATCATCACGTCTTGGATTATTTTCAATTTCTCCTGATAGACTTACTGTTAATGCTAGAAGTAATTTTAGTACAATGAGAGCAAATACAGCAGTATATCAAGGAAAATGGTTATATGAAATACAACTTGGAACCAAAGGTCTTATGCAAATTGGTTGGAGTACAGTTAATTGTAAATTCACTCAAGAATCTGGAGTTGGTATGTTATTAATATTTATAATATTTATTAATAATATAATTTGGAAATATTTAATTTTATTTTATTAAAAAAATTTAAATACTTATTAATATAATTTTATTAATAATATCTTTTAATTTTAAAATGTAATGTAATACCTTCTTATTAGGAGATACTATTAATTCATATGCTTATGATGGAAATCGTATTAGAAAATGGAATGTGGCTACATATTCATATGGAGAATCATGGCTTGCAGGAGATATTATTGGATGTGCAATAGATTTAGACAATGGATATGTTGATTTTTACAGAAATGGTAGACATTTAGGACGAGCATTTGAAAATATATCAATGGGTAGTGGATTTGCATATTTTCCAACAGTCAGTCTTGCATTAAAAGAAAGTTTAACAGCCAATTTTGGATGCACACCAATGCATTATCCTTTAGAAGGATATGAACCATTACAAGCAGTTCCAAAACAAGAAATACATCAAGCTAAACTTTTATTTAAATGGTTTTCAAAAATAATAGAACAGATAAATACAAGACAGAATATGAATAAAGAAATTATGTTGTCTGATGAAAATATGAGTGTAAAGGCCTATTTAATGTGTCTTTCAAATTGTATTTTAAAACATATAGGACCTTTAGTTGCAATACCATATATTACAGAAGATATTTTAGTTCCTTTCATGCAACATATTTCTGAATCAAAAACAAATTTTACTTCTTTATTATCAACTTGTTTAGATTTATTATGGACATTTCTTGAAGAGCATGAGATCAAAATATGTTTGGAAACTATTGTCCTTTTTTTATTATCTGCATTCAAACATGTATCTTATTTATCTGAATATTTTGATCAGTGTAAAAGTATACTTCTTTTAACAAAAATTTGTCAACATATATTGACGCGACAATACTTACTACAACATTTACTTTTTGATCAAGTAAGGCTTCCAAATTTCTTGAATGTTAAACCACCAGATAGGAAAGGATTAATTGATATAGTCAGTAATGTATGGTGGGAAACAGATCCTGTAGATTTAACGATTGAAGCTAATAAGGAAAGTTATATGGAAGCATGTCAACAAATTAAAGCTACAATCTCTGGTATAATCAATAAATAAATATTTTTGCTATATAACATTTCCTGTTTTATACATATTATTATATTTATATTTTGCAGAATTAGAAACATTACAAGTACAATTATTAGTAATTCTTCTTGATAATTCTGATGGAAATGAAAAGAGACCAACTTCAAGAACTATATTTTTAAAGAAATTTAAACGTTTTGTACCTATAGCAAATAATGTAAGTTAGAAGACTGATAAATTATTATGAATAAATTACTCTATGTAGCATTATGTGTTTAGTTAGTATTTCTACAGAGAATAATCAATAACTTCAGAATTCTGCACCGATTACACTATGTTGCATTTATCGACTTCTGGTTGCATTCAGAATTTTATGGGATGCTGAAGTTGGAACATCTCCTATTTATGTGCCTTGCAAGTAAATTTCCATCAAGTATATTTATAATATTTTATATGTTATATACATTATATTATTTAATGTTATATACATTTTATTGATTGAATATCTTATTTATCTTTATTTAATATTTTTTTTTAATATTAATTCATCTAATAACTTATAATTAAAATGAATAGGGTATTTTACGATGGATCAATTGATTACTTGGGAATTGAAAGACTGGGTGGTGTAGTATCTCATTTAAACAAGTTGCATAGGAATGAACTAGTACAGATATTAGGTCCTGAACATGAAGCAATTGTTACAACGGAACAGACTCAAGATTCATCTAATTCATATACTAGAATGGCACTCGTTCGAGTGATAAATATGAATCCATTAGATCAAGGAAGATCAATAATTCTTGATACGGCACCGTTACCCGTAAATATTGTAGATTCGACTACATCTTTGCTTGAGCTACTTGATAGTATTATTTTGTTCTACCATCTAGTAGCAAAAAAGCCATTAGCAAAAGTGGCTTTTCTTAGGAATAGCATGTTAGAATATATTTCTGCTAGTCAAGATTTAAAAATACGACTAGGAGAAGTTACAAAAAAAAAAACGTTGAATCTGAGACAGTTCAGCAAGAATTGTCTAGATCGATAAATGTTTTTAATACCAAATTAATAGAACAGGGAAGACACATGGCCTGGATTCGTGCTGCTGTTTATTCAGAAGAAAAACAATCATTATTAGCTTGGCTTCTAAAAGTGGTTACATTGACTTTAATGAATGCTAGTTCAGAAGGAAATATGTTTAGTTTTGTACCAGACTTTTATTTGGAAGCATTAGCTGATTTATGTGTTGGTTTACGAAATCACATGCATCCAACAGCACATATTGAAAAAATTCCAAATTATCAAGAAATGTTTTTAACCATAGCTAAATTTCTTTGTGATCATTTTATGGATCCTCGTATAGTAAATATAGATTCAAAGAGCACATTACTTTTGACATTGGCTGGATTTGTATTCAATCCACTTACATTAGAAGCTATGGAAAATGTACCAGAAGAAAGTCGAATGAAATTGGTTACAAACTTATTAAAATCATATAAAAATAGGGCATGGGCCGAATCGAATTGGATTTTAGTCAGATTTTGGCAAGGTAACGGTTTCGCCTTTCGATATGACAGAAGCCCGCATCTTTTGAAAAAAGGTGGATCAAAATCATTTCAACAAGAATCAATTTCTCAACCTAGAAGTATGTAATTTTTGTTTTCAGTAAATGCCTTAAAAATTGGATGATCAGTGAGTTTACTGATCTCCGTTCTTTAGAACCATGTCCATCCATTGTATACCAAGGCCACATAAGGGATGTGTTATTAGAAAATCTGCAAGATACAACGGCATTCTTAAATTCTTTATTAAATCTATTAAACTGGACTTTTTCGGAATTTATTGGAATGGTGCAAGAGATCCATAATGTTTCATCAAGACCTGAAAGAGTTTTCATTGAATCTAGACAGTTAAAAATATGTGCTACATGTTTTGATTTAACGATTTCATTGTTGAGAGTTTTGGAGATGATCATCACGGTGGTTCCAAATATTTTCAATAATGCATCACAATCTTTCAGTGAAAATCTATTGTTCAGATTGTGCCAAGTATATGTTCCTAAGTTATTTTTATTTTTATATTTTATTTGATATATAATTATCATTATATTTTTTTTAGCTACTTTGTCAAGTTTTAAATAGAATCAGTTCACAAACTAGTTGTTTCCGACATGTTGTATTATTGGAAATTCCAGATTTAGAATCTGTAGATCATTTTCCAATACTTGCAGCTGCTACAGGTATTTTATTTGCTTTACTGAATGAAGATATGATCAACTTTAAATGTAAGTATTTGTTTTAATTACGACATAAATGACATATTCAGAACTTATAATAGAAATCAAATATGAATATTATTAGCAAAATATGAAAAGGAAGTACCAAAGATTACTCAAACTTTATTAATAGAACCAAGTTTTCAAATGAGTACTCTATATTTCTTATTAGGAGATTCAAAACATGAAGATAAACAGCAACGAAATATAAAAAAATTTTCTTTTTTGAATTGTAAGTATAAATAAGTATTTATTTTGATGTTAGAAATAATTATGAAAAATATGTTTTCATATAACTTTTTAAAATGAAATTTTTATAGATCCAAATGATGTAACAGAGGAAGAAATAAAAAAAGTGAAAGACATGATTGAATATTTAGATGAATGTCGTATTATTTTGCCAAATTCAAAAATTTCTAGTGATAATGGTGATACTTGTACAATATGCTATGCACAACCTATAGCAGTAACTTTTAAACCTTGTAATCATCAAACATGTCGTATTTGTATTGATCGACATCTCTTAAACAACAGATCATGTTTTTTTTGTAAAATAACAATCGAAAAAGTTGTAGACCTTTCTGGTAATATATTACACGACTTTACTCAAGATAGTATATCTTCAAATTAATTCATGAAATCGTCTTGATAGATATATATTATGAATTATAGTTTCTTGTGAAAATAATTATAAAAATAAATTTCTTGTAAAAATTATAACACATTTTGAAGAAAAGTAAACAAATTGTATAAAATTTTATGTATAAGATTTCATTTATTTAATATTATTTTCTTTTCAAAAGTTTATAGATGCAGTACAAAAATAAAAGATTACAAATTTTAGTTTTTTGTTATAATACAATAGACAATATAACAATAAAATTTGTATATATCAGTCTTTCTGATTTTCTATTATAATTAAAATAATGTATCAATATCTGTTAAAATATCTATCTAAATCACAAGAGAGTGATAAATCACGAAGTATAATGAGCAAAATTTTTAAAAAGTTCCTTTACTTATAAAAAGTTTAGGAAAATACTTTTATATAAAATTTTCTTATAACAGAATAAAATATACTAAGTACATAAATTTTTTTTTAAATGTTTAAAACCAGTAACTAATGGAATTGTTTTAGATGTTATACTTAAATCTTCTATTGTTTCTACAAATATAATTCCAGATACAAATGCACCAAGTGCAGTGATAAAAACTGCAAAAAATATTAGTAATCGATCTTTGTTTAGATGTAATTCTGAATCTTTTAAAAGTATACATTGAAACAAACAAATGCCTGGAAAAATAAAAATAAAAGCTGCCGATAAGACTCCTAATAAATTAATAACTGGCGAAATATCTGGTAGTAATATTGCAATTATTAAAGATAATATATACCAAATCAACGTAATAAAAATTCTAAATTTAATAGTTATATTAATGTCCATTCCTAGAAGACTTAAAAGAGCATCGCGACCACAATACAAAACAATTGGATATGTAGTAAAATTTTTAATTGCTATAAATATAATGCCTAAAGTAAGAATTATACTTTTATCTGTATATCCTTGAAGAATATCACTGGGTACTTTATCAATACCAAATGTTGCATATCCAAAAATACCAACCACTGTATAAATGGTAAAACAAATAATCATGCTTACTATAGCACATAATGTAAACTTACGGAGATTTCGTTCTTTCATGCAAGCATACATTGGTATTGCTGTCATATGATTCTGTAAATATAATATAAAAGCAATATAATTAAGAATTATTTATAAAATCAAAATTATTTTGTTCTTCCATCTTTATAATAATGCTAAAAGTATAATACCTGATATGCAAAACAAATTATTGGAATTATTTGAAGTGCTTCAAGTTTATTGTCTGGCCATATTTTCATAGGATTAATAGGAGATTCAGTATAAGTAAAACTCTTGTAGACTATCAATGATACTACATATAAAATAGTTATGCATCCAATAGAACTAGTATAACTTAAAACATCCAATCTTTTGAAAAAGCATAAAGGCAATATAAATAAACTACATGTTACAATTGTGACAAATGTTCTGGATAAATACCTAAAATATTAATTTTGCTAATAAAAATCAATAATATTAATAAATATATTAATATTTATTATATATAATGTATTAATAAATATTAATATAATATATTGATATTTATTAATACATTAATAATAATAATTAATAATATATATTAATAATAAATATATTTTTCAAATATATGCTTTGATTTTTCAAAATTTTTCCAATTACCATGTGTGACAATAATCAAATCCATAATATGTTGATAAAACTCTATCAAACTGATCACCAACAACTATCAAAAATGTTAAACAACATCCAAAACTATATATCATAATACAAAAAGCACATAAGAGAAATGATTTTTGTCCATAAAAATTAGCAAACATATCTTGCATACAACAGGTATTTGTAATGTCACTACAATTAGCTAAAATTATAAGAGTAGTAGTGATAAAGACAAGTAATACGAGTTGTACACTAATGGATGTAACCAATCCTCCAGCTTTATCAAAGGCTTGTGGAAAATTTAAAAGGCCTGCTCCTAAAGTAGCATTGACAATTAAAAAAATTGTACTTATTATATTGTTTCCTGTAAATATATACAAAAAATTCTTGTAAAATATATAAAATGTTTGATTTCATTAAATTTTAAAGTATTATAATGTATAAAATGTTGAATTAAAAATTATATTATTTTTGTTCTGTTACACATATATTGTACTATTATAAAAGCAAAATTTACAAACAAATATTATCAAATTTACAAACAAGTGTAATAAATAAATTAGATAACAAATTAATGATTTATTTATTATCATATTATTATTATTATATATTTGAATAAAATTAATCTAAAATTAGAAATAAATATAAAACATAAATTACCTGATTGGTTATTATTTCGATTATTATGAATAGATGAAGGACTTGGTGCAGTACATAATAACATATCATTACTAATAAGTTGTTCCCTATCGCCTATTAAACAATTCATGTTTGATGATTACAAACTGAACGGTTATTTTGATTGACAATTTATTTAATTTTATCTAAAATGATATTTCTTTAAGAAAAAATAAAATATTTATCAATAATATTTATAATTTAATGATTAGTTTAAAAGTTACTTCAGAAAAATTCATGTAAGATTATTACAAAATGATTCAATATGTTATTTTATTGGATTGATTGACTTTATTAATTATAAGAAATATTTATATATTTATTTTATTTACATTTTAGTGAGAACAAAATTGCCCGGAACAAAATGGCCGGCAGTGATGTATTAGTGTATCATGTGACTTCGTAATAGGAGAATCATTGTAATCGTTAAAACGATAATTTGTTCGATATAGTATTGCTTCTCCATTGTCTTCATGTCTTATATCACATATGTTCTCTATCAGCCATTTTGTCTGTATGTATGTTGGCAACTCAGTGAATTTCAAACTTTTTAAATTTTAAATTAAACTATTAGATCCGTATGATGGCGCTGTATTAACTTTGTTACGAAATTTAAACACTTGTTAGATAATAAATTGTAATATTGTAGACATTCTTTTTTACTTGCAACTAATTAAAAAGTAAGTATATATTAAAAATTATGTTATTATTTTTTAAAATAACATTATAAATACATGAAATTTTTTAAAATTTTATTTTCTAAAAAATTTTTGTGATATAATAAAATATTAAAAATTCTGTTTGTAAATAATTTTTCGAATATAATTTTACATATATTCCAATGATTGAAATTTATTAATGATTAAAACCAAATTAAAAACAAATTATAAATGATTAAAAACTTATTAAAAACATTGAAAAATATGAATTTTTTTTTAACATGATTCAATTGAATGAATATATGAAAAGTAATGTATAAAAAAGATATAAAAATATATAGTCTGTATTTATATAAGTAGTTTATATATAATATATATTTCTATTATGTATATATGTAATTTATGTTATTAAAAACTATTAAATAAATATTTTAATTATATGTATACATATATATGAACATAAATAAATCACAAAATATGTATAATGAATATTTATATGCAAAATTTACAAAACTTTGTACAGTTTAATTATACATTTTGTGATATATTTTATAATATAAGAAATAGTTTTGTAAAAAAAATTAAGAATTGTCTAAGATTCAGGAACACTTGTATATATTCGTACACCATGCATATCCTTAATCTCTTCCTTAAGAGCCTATAAAAATAATTATAATTAAGAAAAAAAGATTATATATAATTAAGAAAAAAAGAAATAGTACAATATTGCTTTAAGACTTTCTTACTTCATTAATTAACCGATGCTGTTTAATAGTGTTCAATCCTTTAAATTCTGGTGCTACAACATTTATTTCAAACATTGCACCACATCCTCCTACAACAATAGATTAAAAATTTTCTAAATATTTCTTAAATTTTTTTTAAAAATGAAAAAAATCATTAAATTTTATAAAATAAAATATTTTTAAATTTAATAGATTAAATAATTTTTATATGTAATAATTATCATTATTACATACAATTATAATAATTATATATTATTACTATATATTATATATTACTATATATACATAGTAATATTATATAATATATATAATATTATATAATATATATATAATTACATATAATTAATATTATTATATTATTATACAACTAAAAAACAATTAGTCTTTTAAATTACAACATTGATAAAATTATAATAATAATACTGATTATTTAAAAGATAATACAAAATCTCAAATGAATAAAATTAATTTTTTTATATTTTATATACAATAAATATATTTAAATGATGATATAATTTTTTAATCCTTTCTTATAATCTTATTACCTGATACATCATTTACTTCTATAAGTTTAGCTTTAGGAAATTTGTTTCTTAAAATTGATATCATTTTTTGCTCAGCATGTTTGCCAGCCAATGCACTATTGGGTCCGTTCCATACTCTCGATAGAAGCTGTAAAACTTTCATTTTATTTATCTTTTGCATTCTTGAAGGGATTGTATTATTTATTTTCTATGTTAATATTTTGTAATGGAAATAGGATATTGAAATAGAGTATTGGGAATTTCTTCAAACTTGAGTAATAAATATTTAACGAGCTGGTTTCGACATGTTAATGAAGAAAATATGTATTATAAAGTTTTTCTCAATTATGAAGCAATATGCATAAAAGTAAACATGCACTTATGTGAGAATGTGTTTTGTACCTACCGAAATATTACGAAAATTTGACATAAACATACGACCAAACATAGTTATTATAATAGATTGCGTTAGATTAAACTTCGTTTGTTTCTTTATTTACAATCTAACGCGTGACAATTTTTTGCTGAAAACAATCAAATAAAACGATAGCAACTGCAAGAGCATGAGTACACGAATAATACGAATATTTTACTCAATCAGCTGATTTCTAACTATAAGTCTATGATAGCGCCATCTATTTAATTCTAGAACATAAAAAAAGGAAAAATATATATTTTAAATTGTTATATAAAAAAAGTCTACATGTATTTACTTGTTTTTACTTAATATTATTTATATATGAAAAATCTATGAGTTAAATACAATATTAAAAGATTCTGTTTTATAATTCAATTTTTTTTTAATTTTATATAAATTATTTTATTCATTAAAAATCACATTTGGTCAATTTTAATTATATTCATAAAAAATTTCAAATATTGAAAATTGAATTATATAAAAAAGAAAAAAAATTAATTATTATTAAAATTAATATTAATTAAAATATATTTTTCATTTTTATGATTAATTATTTAAATTAAATATTAATTATTCATATAAAAATAATATAATATTAATATTTATATATATCCGTAATTAATATAGCAAAAAAATTAAAAATTTTGTATTGTGGAAGATGAAAGATAAGATAAAACTAAAAATTATTATATTAAATGTTATATATTAAATGTTAAAGATACATATAAACATTATGTATAATGTATAATAATCATATGTTATACAATATAATTTTTTGAATTGATATTTTTTATAAAAAAATAATAAAACATCTTTTATAAAATATTCATTTTATAAAAAGTAAGGTTAGTCTATTTATTACTTACTAACTTAACTTTCGTAACTATTCATTTCGTAAAATTATAAGCTATTTTTACTGAATGTTATATCACAACCGGCATCATTTTCATCTCTGTGTATCTAAATAAATCGTGTATTGGTATTTTAGTATTATATTGTTAACAAAATAAACAGATCGCAAGAAAATATTATTTCTTTGATAATTTGCAATTATATACTTATATAATAAAACTCAAGATTCGTAATGATGCAATTAACATAACTTTTTTTAAGATTTCGTAATTTTCAATCCATTAAAAGTCTTTGCCAAAATGAGTGCACAATAAGTAATGTTATTCTGCAGATTAGGTCTAATGAATGATTCGCTAGCTGTAGATAAATGTGCATGTAAACATATATATTACAAGTGGAAATCGAGAACACGCGCGTATGCGCACGCATCATAAACTTGGCAGAGGATGACGTAGATTAACACGGACTCAAGTGTAACCTTGATCCGTACATTGCAGTCTCTCTCTCTCTTCTTACTCTGCGACCCCTGATCATGCTATTTCATCCAAACTTAAGCACTTCAAGAGTGAGAGCTAAACTCACGTACGACGCGCATGACGGTTTTTATTACTGTTCAAAATTCCTGCTTATTGTAAATCTCATGATATATTGTGAGACATTTATAAAGTGAAATCATTTCATCTTACGCTTGTCCACGATTTCCCGAGGGGATAGGGTACCGTGGAACAAGGAAGTGGCAAAGATATTATCGATTCGCCAGAGCTCACGAGTTAACGGTTTGTTTACACGAGCGTGGGGGAAAGTACGCATGCGCGGCAGAACCAAAACAATAATAAGAGAGTAGAAGGTTTGTGGCTAACGGACGAGCGGTCGCTCGCTTTGGGTGTCGAACGTATCATGCCCTTTTAATTCTTATATATAATCAATCGAATGATAAACGTTCAAGTTCTACCTCCTTAAAAACAGTTGTCTAGTGATTATTCAAAATAACATAATCATCAGTGGATTCCTTAGTTCTGTATATACGTGGAGCCGGAGCCAAACTTACGTCAAAACGTGTATTATTGTGCAACGTGTGCTCGAATCGACATGTAATAAGATCGAAAATAAGACGATGTTAACATTGAAATAACTGTGATCGATTTAAGAAAGAATACAAAAATATTTGTATATGTTAAATCAATTAGCGTGTATATATATTGCATTTATGCTCGAGTGAGTTATGTATTTGTTAATGAGAATGTATTCATTCAATTCCTCGAAGTAAAGCACGAACAAAACTTGATGATTCGTTCAACATTCGAGAAAAGGAAAGGCTTAAAGAGAGGGGGAAGGATAGGTGGTGCGTATTTACACAGTGAATCACGCGTTCCATGATATTACGAGACGCGGCTGGTAGTTTAGGCCATCTATGTTTACACGAACGTTTCTAAATATGTTCGTAAACACTAAGTGTGCGTCAAAACGAACTAAGCATTCAGATTGATCACTTTAGATACTTGTTAGATCGTGTATTAATTAAAGACGAACATATTTTACTTTCACAAAAGATTAAAGAAAAAGACGAAAAAAATATATATTTGAAAAATATTGTGTAGTGTGAAGAACATTTCGTGTGTGTATCTACGAAAAGAAAAAGAAGAGAGAGGGAGAAAGGAAAAGAAAGAGAGAGGACAATAACACGTTGGCCGAGAGCGCGGCTTTATTGTGTCCGCTGCTCGCCCGTATCGCAGACGTGGAGGTGTAAACACGGCATTCGTGTTATTGTCCTTTTGTTCTCGTAGCCGGTGAACGGAGGAAAGTACGCCATGCCGAGCGCTGAAGAAACAACATATTTGATCGAAGTAGTACCAAACACGACGCAGGATTTTCTTTCCCGCGACGTGGACCTTCTCGTATCACAAATTAAAGAAAATCTTCGATTATCCAGCTTGAAAGCTAAGTCCAGCATTAGCCATAAAAATCGACCATCGCCCTATCAAATACCATCGAGGTCGTGGGCAGATCCGAATAGTTGCGAGATATGTGGTGCGAAGAATACCGGCAGTCACGATCGTCATCATTTAAATCATCATCATCATCATCACCATCATCATCATCATCATCATCATCATAAAAGATCTACTACAAGAGATGATGATCCATATGAGCTTCTACAAGAATTACTTAGGGAAGGTGGATTAATAAAAGAGGCTGTGAAGAGACTTCAAGCGAATCTTGTTGATTTGGATAATTCTGAAGAAGAAGAAGATGATGAACAGTCATCGATAATTTATCAAAGAAAACCTTACTTCTATGATTCTGAAGATGAACAGTTACCACCAGTGTGCGAGCCGCTTGAGCTGTGAAACTGAGTTATTGTGTAACCGGCTTTGACCGGTATAGAATTTAAAGAAAGATTCTTAGTGTACTTCACGAATAAGAGTGAAAAAGTTCAGAATTCTTTATTAACAGTCATTCTCGTTCCTCGATTTACCTCTTGATGGTATATCGTGTGTATATATGTGTATACACGCGAAAAAGTGTTGTCAAGAACATTCGCCCCCTAAGTGAAGCATGTGTAGCTTGTATCGAAAGAAAGTACAACGAGGTAAACATAATTAACCAAGAACTCGCCTTACATGGTCGTGTTTGTAAATATGGTATGTTGTTATTCGAAGCAGTTTCACAGCTTCGTGTAACTTCGGCTAAAATCGTCAGCATATCGACAATCCACGAAGCTTACGTGGAAGACATGGCTGCCTCGATTCGAGCCCTCGAATTCGATTTACATGACAACAAGGTTCATCGTTTTTTTAAGCTACGAGTTCGTCCTTCTTATAAATAAAGAAAAAGATAAAGAAGAGTTCCTGAATGTTGCTCGTGTCCAGGGTAATAAAAAATGAAATTCTGGAATAGTGATTGACGATAAGATTATGAAACTGTTTATATACAATTTGTTTTCCTATAGAAATTTTCAATTTTTCATTTATTTTGATCATTTTTTGTTTTTTTTTTTTATTAACTATGCAAATTAATAATGATAGCATACAAATAATGCAATGTAACTAAAAAAAGAAAACATGAACAACGGTGTGATCTAATATGAATTGACAGCATAATAATTCAGCATAGTTATTTAACGCTTATTTAATTCGTTTGTTACCTTTGTTATATGTATATATTATAGTTTTTTTAATAGCGTGAAATACTGAAAAGAGCACGCGTATGAACGAAAAGTATCCTATAAGATATATTAGTTGAAAATTTTGCTCGATTTGTTCGGGCTATTATGGTCCAGTTACTATTAGAAAAATTAATTAAATGAATTGTCTAAGAAATCAATCAACGAATTGTAGAAACGCCTTTTGCGCGCGGAAGCGTCGTAATTCGAAGGATAGTGATCTCATTTTTGTTTTATTTTTTTTCTGAACAACGAACAAGTTATTTGATTGAGATAGGATACCATTTATTAGTTCAATATATATATATATACTTTCAAATTAAGTTGCACGCACATAATTATTGCCATTTTGTGCGTTTCAAAGTATTTAGCAAACTTGGTTAAAAAAAAGTAGTAAACTGGTTTAGCATAAAACACAAGTACGTGAATTTGTTATATGATCAACAACATACAGTAGGTTTACATTCGCTTCACATTAAGTATATACATATATAGTTATTTATCACTATCGATCGTTAGCGACGTAACAAATGCTGTATGCGCGTGTAAATTTGTTGTACATATATATATGCATATTGGGTGCACATGGGTGTTCGGTTTAATGATAGAGTGTGATTCGTTTTATTGATATCGGAACTGATGAGAAGAATTCGGATAAATAAATTGTAGCATGTTTTCTGCGAGAAGCCGACGAAATGGAGGCACAAAATTACGCACTGTGTCATGTTACGTATTGTACAAATGTTAACTAGTTCACGATTACAAATATTGAGTTAGATCACAGTTCTGATGAACATGTGATAACGTATATGAATGAATGAATGGGAAATCAATGCGTTTTTTCTTTTTATGTCTATATGTATGCATATGCAGTGAATGATTTGCGTAAGTATGAGTGTGCAGATAATGAGAGATTTGTCTTTAAATTTACCGTTAAAGTGTAAATTAAGGAAGCTATATACCTCGTTGTGATGGTCGGACTTGTTATCCGACAAACCTTAATTATGAATAAACAAATAAAAAATTTCATTTTAATCTTTTTATATTTTTTCCCAATATGTTATATTTTAGAAATAATATTTAAATATATATATAAATATATAAATATATTATATTTATATATAAATTATTTTATTTTTAATTATCAACTTTTCAATTTATATTATTTATTTATTATAATATTATATTATAATATATATTATAATATAAAATAATAACATTAATACTTTAAAATATAATTCTAATTTAATTTTTCTTTTATGATAAAAAGATGTATTATCAAAAATAAAAAATTATATTAAGATTAATTTTGATATATTAGAAACATATTTTATATGATGATATACAAAGATATACAAAGATATATTCTTCATGAAATGATGAAATATAATAATCTTTAAAAATAAAAAAAGATTATAGATTTTTATTTTAAATTATTAATAAACTTATCTAAAAATAATTTTTTAATATATTATACTTAATTGCTATTTATTTCTAAAAATGATCCAAAATTATTATAATAAATTAATAATTATTATAATAACACTAATGTAAAAATGAATTATAAAATATATATTTAAAAATTAAAATTTTTACTTTTTTAAATTTTTAATTTTTTTTTTAAATATTCACCATTGATATATAATTTATAAGTAACAATAAAATAATATCGATAAATTTTTCCAATCATTTTTAATTGATTATAAAAATAAATTTATTTACAGATAATTAATATTTATTGTATTCTAGCTTTACTTAATGAATATTACGTAATGAATACTGTTTTGGTATGAAGAAATAGAAATAGAAAGCCACAAAAAATAAGCGACATATTCATTAATCTATTCTATTACGTTCATTGATACTAGCATAACATGTTTAATAAAGGACATTGAAATATAATACAAAAATTTAAAAGGAAGAATTGATGTAATTCTCGACATTTTAAATAATGAATGTAACTGGATTGAAACGTTTGCGTCACCTCTTAGAAATAGATGATAACGGAAATCGGTATACGTAAACGTATGATTATAAATAGTTATAGTTAAAATTATTCTTTCTGGCGTAAGTAATGTATATATATATATAATATTCATGTACACATTTAATGATTATTAATTATATCTTAGATATTTAATTTTGAATTAAAAATTCGAAAATGTGTATATGAAGAATTCTCTAGTGAATTATTAAATTATAATCGTTTATCAATTATTATTAAGCAATTATTATAATAAAATCATTTGTAAATAAATAATAATCAGAAGCAAAAATAATGAAAATTAACTTTGTATTAGTAAAAAAACATATCTTAAAATAATCAATTACATGATCTAATTCCAAATAGTGTCATATAATTATATAATAAAGTTATTTATTAAAAAACAATGTTTTAATTGATTGTATTGCAAAAAATAAATATTTTTATGTATATATAAAAGATTATATATATATAATTTTCAGTGAAAAAGTTGAAATAATGAGAATAATTATTCATTGAAATCTATTAATAATAATTTATCGTAATCGATAATTAAAAATTTAAGATATAAAATTTCAAGATTAAATTTATGTTGAATTAAATGTTGAATTATTTATTATTTATATTTATAGATTATAATTTAGAGACATGAATATAATTCTTGTATATATTAATTATTTGAAATCAACTCAATATGTTTTATATGATAAATTTGATATACATATGATATACAAAAATATATTTAATGATAATAAAATCAAATCACTTTATATTATTACGTGGAAGTTGAAAATATTATTATTATTGGTCCGTTATAATTCATCACGTGATTTTTCATTTTACATTGTTGTAGATAAAAGATAATAAAGTGGGTCGTGAATCGTGCATTTGCATAGTATTTCTATAAATATTAATAACATTTTCATAATTTAGATATACAAATCATTGATTTCATTATAAAAACTTTATTCAACTAATATTGAAAAAAAAATAATCATTAACAAATTGACAAATGACAGAAATTAATATGGCGGATTCTACATATTTGTATGTATAGATAATTTATTGATTATTATTATATATGTCTGTTATCAAGTAGAAATTAACTGTGTTTAAATATAAATATAAAATATATAATTGTTATAATAACATCAATAAATAATTCATTCATTATATTTTAAATATTTTATTATTTATTATCACTTTTTATTATAACTTATTTTATTATTCTTATTTATTGTTCTTATTTATATAGCTTATTGCTTTATTAAATATAACACAACATCTCCTATTCTATATAAAAACAATAAGTATTTAATGAATCGAAAATGTGAAATATGATATTTTTATATTTCAAATTTTGAGGTTATGTAAAAAAATATATCTCTTGCAAAACATAAATGATAATCTCATTACAAAAATTTTATGTTAAACGAAATGATATAAATATTAGTTTCAATTTATAATTAATGTTAAATTGTATTGAATGAAAATTTTAATTTTTGAGATATTTGAATTTATTTTTTATATTATTCTATAAATAATAATTAATAATAATAAAATAATAAATTTATTTTTTAAATTAATAAAAATATTATTTATATATAATTGATTAATTATATATTCAGTTATATATGACATAATTCATAATATATGTATGTATATAACATAATGGTTTATATATTTATATATTTTACTTTATGAAAGTAACCAAACCTAAATCAATTATTTTTAATCAGTTATAATTTATTAATTTTTGATTATAATATATATGTATATTAGCAGTATATAAAATATATGTGTATTAGCAAATAACTGATGATTAATTATAATGAAGTATTGATTACAGATAAAATTATTTTAAAATAGGTTTTTAATAAGTCTTATAATATTATTATATTCTTGAATTAAAATTTTAATTTGAAATTTATATTATTATTTTATTATTTTTTTGTTTTTTTCTTTTCATAATAAAATATATTATACATTTTTTATTAAAATTATTGTATATGTTTAATAAATAATATATAATGTATATTTCTAATGTATACTTTTAAATTTATTTATAAGCAATTATAACTAAAATATATAAAAAATATATAAATTTAATTTTCTTTAATGTAATTGTTTTAATTGTAAGCAAATTGTATATATATTGAATAAATTAACAAAAATTATCATTGTCATTTTAAATTATTTATTTTCCTGAAAATATATTTTTGTATATTATCATTTTTTATACAGTTTTTATTAATTTTTTAATTTTTATTAAAGAAAATATTTTTAAATATGATATAAAAATATATTATGGAATATATAAAAATTAAATAAAAATTATAAAACTTATTATTAAATAATAAAATTTTAATTTCTCTATTTTATTTTTCTATTTGATAAATATGAAAATACTATATTTTAGGAATGGAATAGAATCTTGCTTCCAAAGGGGAAATCATACTTTGAAAGTACCTATGTCTCTTTTCCAAAACAATCGCAAGAGATTAATTGAACGTGTTAAAGCAAATAAAAAAATATCAGACAAAGGTACTTTCATTATTCTTCAAGGAGGAGTTGAAGTTCCATTTAATGATACAGATATATATTGGCCATTTAGACAAGTAAGTAAATTATTAATTTTCATATGGCAATATTTTGATAAATATTTTTTTTATATTATTTTTTTTATTAGGAGTCATTTTTTCAATGGTGTTTTGGTGTTGAAGAACCAGGATGTTATGGTGCTCTTGACTTATCAACAGAAACAACTATTTTATTTGTGCCAAGATTACCAGCAGAATATGCAATTTGGGAAGGAAAATTGCATAGTCTAGAAGATTTTAGAAAACGATATGCAGTAGACGAAACTTATTATACTGATGAGATAACTAATGTTTTAAAATCAAAACAAGCAATTCTTCTTTTAACTTTAGTAATTTAGTTTTTAAACATTTTTTGCTTTTAAATTTTTTTAAGAGTTTGATATATATATATGGATGGCTAATATAATTAAAAATAAATTTTTTATAACTTATATATAAACTTATATAAATGTGTAATACAATTTCTCAATATAATTAACAAAATCTCAATATAAATTTCAATCAACAATTTCAATTTTATTTTGAAATGTTGAAATATACATTCTACATAAAATATATTTAAAAAATAATTGCTGATATAAAAATTTATGATGCAAAATATATATTATTGTCATTTGAAAGTAAAAATTAATAACTGTATTTTAAAATAGTAAATTAATAAAATTTATCATAATTTTAAAAAATAAATTTTTTTATAATATTTATTTGGAATTTCAAGAGAAGAAATTGATATTGTAATTCCTTTTTTATATTTTTATTCTGAAAATGCTTTGCATCATGTTTAATTAATTGAATTTAAAGAAAAAGAAAATAATAATTATATTGAGAACTTCATAGATGTAAAATATATGAATATAAATGTGTATTTCAATGATTATATTTGTAAAAAACTTAGT